TACCTTTACATTTGTTATCCTGGTGCTTTGTAAGTGTGCTCACAGGAGATATGTACTTTTTTGTCTCAATGATGACATTATCGTCAGAGTTACTGCAGACTTGAATGGGCAGAAAAATTAATTATCACCAAAGTATAATTTTTTACCTACATAAAATCAATAACCTGATGAGCTGTGGGGGGGGGAGGGACAAAAACAAAAATCAGAACTACAAAGTATATGCCCCCGCTAATATGGCAATATTGAGCAATGGTTCTCAAAGTAGATCTGGGACACCCAAAGTTATTTTGAGGGTCCTCGAAGCTAAACCATATTCATAATATTACAGTATTATCTGCCATTTTCATTCATTCTCACAATATACAATAGTGGAATTTTCCAGAGGCAATGATGACATTGTTCTGACAGCTAATGGAATATGTACTATGTACTCTTGTGTTTTCCAGAATTTTCTAAGCTAACCTCTATGAGTTCTCAATAACTTTTAGGGGAGTAAAGGTGTCCCAAGGGAAAAAAATTAAGAACCAGCAATATGAGGAAGACGGCTTACACACTTAAAAAGAAAAAGTAATGGGGCCTCCCCTGGTGGGGCAACAGCTGAGTGCTGGGCTGTGAGGCTGTCCGCAGCTCTGCTGCGCCAGTTTGTTCCCCAGCCGCCAGTGAGGGTCCCACAAAAAAGAGGGGAGGGGAGGGGAGGGGAGGGGAGGGGAGAAGAGAAGAGAAGAGAAAAGAAAAGAAAAAGTAATGGTTTTTCATGCTCCATTTTTCTTTTTTTTTTTTGAGAACAGAAAAGCGGATTTATTGGAATATACTGCTGAGAGAGAGGCAGCAGGTGAGACTGCTGCACCTGTTCCATCTTTCTTACCAATCAACACTCTAAATGAATTTATCTGAAGAAAAAAACTCAACAGGAACCATAAATGGGTAACCAATTTAAGTTGTTAGAATGCTCTATAGAAACATCTGGGGATGAAAACACGCATTTATTTTATCGACCAGAAAATTTCATTGTAGATAAGAATTCTGAATTTTACCTTCAGTCAAATTTATGCCCAAAATTAGTAAGAAGGGCCTCCCTGGTGGCACAAAGGGTTACGTCTCAGCACTATGAAGCTATCAGCTGCCACTGCAGCAGCCAGGGGAGTTAACCCACATGCGCAGCAGACCTCTCCTGTCTCCCTGCTGCTCCCCTCAGCAGTGTATTTCAGTCAGTCCGCCTGTTCTGCTCCCCACTCTGTCTCTGGTGAATCCTCTCAGGCCCCCACCCCTGTACCTTTGGCCTACACCCCAGCTCTTGTATGTATACATAAATAAATCTTAAAAAAAAAAAATTAATAAGATTCCCAAAAAATGATAGGAACTAAAATTAGAGGGAAAATTTTATAGGACTGTGCTAAAATATCTATTTTTTATAAAGATTTATTTTTTATTAAAGATTTATTTTATTTATATACAAGCACTGGGTACAGTCAGAAGTGCAGGAGAGTGAGAGAATTCACCAGAGCCAGACCAGAGAGCAGAACAGGTGGACTGAAGAAATACACTGCTGAGGGGAGCAGCGGGCAGCAGGAAAGATCTACATGCCATGTGGGACCCTTGCCGGAGGCCGGGGATCAAACCAGCGCTGCAGAGGCTGCGGGCAGCTTCTCAGCCCAGCGCTCAACCGCTGCGCCACCGGGGAGGCCCCAAGATTTATTTATTTATGCATACAAGAACTAGGGTACAGGCCAGAGGTGTGTGTGGGGGCTGTGTGTGAAAGGATTCACCAGACACAGAGTGGGGAACAGAACAGGCAGACTGACTGAAACACACTGCTGAGGGGAGCAGCGGGAGAGTCAGGAGAGGTCTGCTGCAGAATGTGGGTCTCCTCCCTGGATGGGGATGGAACTTGTGCTTCAGTGGCTGCGGAGAGCTTCATAGGCTACATCTTAACCACTTGTGCCATCAGGGAGGCCCCTAAAATATCTTTTAAAAAGCCATCAGTGAGAATATTGTGCTTACAAGCCAGTTAGTCTTGATATGCTACCTAAAAAGGATAGGACCTCATTTCTTAGAAACTCACATTTCAGACTTTCATACCTGTCAAGAGCGCTTAGGGGAATCTAATGCTGCAGCAGCACAAATTTGTCTGATTTACTGAAAAACAACTCAAAGTACATGTTTTGTCATTTTAAAAGTTGGTTTCAGCTAAATAATTTTAAATTTTAAATTGGGGGAGTAAAATATTTAAAGAACTATTTTTGTGTAACCAGGATTTCCAGGACCTGGGTGCATTTTTGGAGCAGAAGTCAATGGCAGGAAAAAAAATTAATAAGGCATTTGGACAGTCCTTTGTAAATAGATGGATAGAAATTCAAATTTCAATTATTCATGGCAACAGAAAGCAAAGACTAAATTACACAAATAATAGCAATTTCAACTTGGAACAGAAATCTTTTAAAGAAAATAGAGGGCCTCCCTGTTGGCGCAGCGGGGTTGAGTGCAGCGCTATGAAGCTGTCCACAGCCTCTGCAGCGCCGGATTGATCCCCTCCAGCCAGGGTGATATCCACATAGCGCCACAGACCTCTCCTGTCTCACCCACTGCTCCCCTCACCAGTGTTTTCGGTCCCTCTGCTTGCTCTGCTCCCTACAGAACAGAGGAGTCTCTAGTGAGTCCTCTCACCCTCCCACGCCTCTGGCCTGTACCCTAGTTCTTGTATGCATAAATGGATAGATCTTTAAAAAAAAAAACAAAAACAGAGTAGCAAGTACATGGATTGTGCTAACAACAGAAGTTCTACTAAGTAAACTGGGAGGGGAAAAAAAATAAAAAACCAGAACAATTTATAAACAAGCTATCAGTCATGGAATAGGTGACATTTAGTTTTATGAATTCTATTCTTAATGATCACTTTCTCGCAAGCATATTCCAGTCTTAAATTCTTTTTTGAAAAATGCTTATAACAAAAGGAACTACTTAACTTACATGCTAGACAGCAGCATACCTTAAAGTTTTTGATTTTGGGCAAATGAATCTTTAGGTATAAATGATCACTTAAATTGGAAAGGCAAGTAATGCCTTTGGAACTGTCTCTAGACTGCCAATTTCATAAAAGGATCATTATTAAATTAATGCCTATACCTAGTGACAAGAAAGAACATTATCCTTATAATGTCACTTGAATACTATAACACTGGACCAATGAATCTAAAATAGACAATTCCAAATTTCCATACAAGATTATTCATTTAATCTATTGAAAAATTATATAAAAAGAAAGGAAATAGAAAATAGTTCTCTACTACTAAATGAGAAAAACATCTTTGGGACATAAAACTGGCTGCAGAATCTTTTGGGAGAGGGTTGGTGAGGCACTTCTTATGAAAAAAAAATTCGTTTGAAACTACAAATTTGTTACCTTAAAAGGCTAAAATAGATACCTGCTTCAAAATTAAGAATGCAGCTGAATATTTCACTTGAAAGAGATGTCATTTGTTAATAAATTGTGAGATGTGTTTTAATTGTCCCCCTCGGGTAGGTGGTTCCATATCCTCCCCTTTGAATGTTTTTAATTTTTACAAAAGAAATCAACTAACGAACAAAACCCCCAGTTTTCTTCAACACTTAAACAGTACTGTGACTATTCCAAGCTCTACAAAGCCATTGTCTGGCTGAAAGTTTCAATTCAATCAAATGTTAAGGCAATTTCCAGAAAACATGAACGTGTAGCATCAACCTTCATCCTTTGTAACAATTTGAAGGAATATTTAAGATTCTAGGTGAAATTTTAGGATTACATCTTTTGCAAACTCAGGGACAATCAACTGTGAAATATCACTTTTCAACTGAAGTTGTTTCCATCCTGAAGACTGGCATGTTTTGAGCTGCTATGTTGGGGGGTCAGGGGTGGGCTCAGGGGAGCGGGGAACCTGACCATCAGTTTGAATTAATATGTATAAGCTTTCTTTCAAAAAAAAAAAAAAAAAAAACCACATTACTTCCTGTACAAAAATGCAACCATAATAATTTCTAAACTAAAGATGCAAACCTAAAATATGACATATTATTAAGAAAAGTCAACACACTTGCACATTCAGAAATGTCTTTGTCCTCTTTAAAACAATCCCCACCACAGATTTGGTTTCTACACAGAATCGGTTTGCAATCACATCAAAATGTCCACCCCCTTCAATTTCCTTGCCACTGAAAAGACAAACTCAATGAAAGGGAGCAAAATACCTGATTCAACTAAGATATCCATCAAACCTTAGTCAAACCTCTGAAGTGAAGTAAAATTCACTATTTTTATAAATCATGACTGAGCTGTGATTTTAAGGTTTAAAGCCTCTCCTAAAGCTGGCGGTTGGGCGTAAATCACTAGTTAGAAAATGAATTGAAAGAGAGAAAATAAAACCAGTCACGGGGCAAGCTGCTTCGCTCGGGGTGGGAGTTCTCAGGGTGCGGCAAATTCAGGACGGTCATTTCTCACGGCTCTACTTTACTGGTCAGCCAGGGCGCCGAGGCTGAGCTCTGAGAACGCGTTTCAATTTCTTAGACCCTCGACCGCGTGTGTGAGGCTTGACCCCCCCACTTAATCTTCTCTAATAAGGAAACTTGGGTGGTTGGGGACAATGAGTTCTCCGCTGGTCAGGTCGCCACTCCGGCATTTTCCCTCCGACCCCGGCCGCGCTGGAAGGCGCGTACAAAGGCGAGCGACAGACCCTCGGCTCCGATCTCGGCGGGCGGAGGAGGAAGCCAGCTCCGCCACCTCCCCCGCTGCGCCCCCATTTCCGTGCGGGGGGCAAAAAGGCCCCCAAGGGAAGTTTCCTGTAGCAGTCGCCCCCAGAACTGAGCACGGGCGGACCGGGACGAGCCCTGCCGAGCGGCGCCCAGAGATACTTTGGGGCGGGAGGGGCGCGCGCAGGGTTCTGGCGCCGACGGTGCTCGCGGGGGCCCCCTCCCACCCCAGACCTCAGCCCAGGGGGGGGAAGGCGGGGAAGACAACGCGAGGGCCTCACCAGACGGAGCTGGCTAATTTCGTCGTAGGACATAAAGCTGAGGATGTTCTCGATGGCTACGATAGGCAGCGCCAACAGCGTGTTGTTTTGAGGCAGCTGGTCCGGAGCCAGCGCCGAGCTTGGGGGCGCCTGGGACCCCGGCTGCTGCGTCTGGGGCGGGGGCGGGGGAGGCAGCCGTTGGGTAGAGCCGATGGCCGAAAAGGAGCTGCTGTCGCCGGGGCCGCCGCCTCCTTCCTCAGCCATCCGCTCCTCCGACGCCGCCGCCATCTTGGGGGTTTGAGTCTTTCCACCCCCCTCCCTGCAAGGGGACTGGGGCGCTTCCGTTGCGTCATTTCCTCCTCTTGCTCCCCCGGGGAGGGGGCACCTGGAGAAGGGGGCGGAGCCTGTGGAGCGACTGGCGAAGAGAGACTCGTTCAAGTAGAACTGAGGAAGATCAATAAACTTCTGGAAAGGTCATCTTTGTAGGCCCTTTTTTTATATGTTTGGAAACTAAGTGAGGGTGAGGACACCCTGTCTATTAAAATTAAAATTAACTCCCCAGTTTTCTTATAAAGCTCCCTGGTAAAGGATGATAAACATAATGTTGTCTAGTAAATGTCAATAGAGCAATATAGTTAGAATGTTACCACTTTCAAGAATCATACTGATAATTGATTTTAACAAATAAAAAGGAAGTATTGATTAAAACTACCATATGGAAGAACCTTGAAAATATTTTGATAAATGAAAGAAGTCAGATTCCATTTACTTGAAGTTACTCAAATAGCCCAATCCATAGGGACAGAAAGCAGATTAGTGGGTTTCCAGAAACTGGAGTGAGTGGAGGAACAACTGCTGATGGAGGACTGTTTTTCTTTGGGGGGTGGGATGGAAATGTTTTTTAATTTGAGAATGTTGATGGTTGCATAACCTTGTGAATGTCCACTTTAAAATAGTGACTTTTATAATATGTGCATTGTATCTGCATTATGAAATTGATTTAGGCAAGAATCATCAAAATATGCCAAAAGTAGAAAGTTAAGGTATGATATAAAACTATACATACATAGTCTGAAAGTAACTCCCACAAATTAGTTTACAATAGAGAACTGTAGGGGATACCACCATAAGCAAATGATCAGTCAATATCATAAGTTACGGTAGATATGGATATCATGTGCCTCTTGATGTGATATACTGAAAGGACATGACCTAGTGTACAGCAAAATAAATAAATAAAACAACCCACACACACACAAAAAAATTACTTGTATTTGTGGTGGGAAAGTCAAGATAACTGCCCGCACAGTCTTCAAAAATATTGATATCAGGAAAGACAAAGACTAAGGATTTGTGCCAGATTAAACGAGACTAAAGAGACAAGACAACTAAAGGTAGTGGTGGGTGCAGTGGTGGTTAGCTTGCCTGAATTGGTATCATTTCCCCAATTGTTTGGCATATAAAGGATTGATCCTTTTATATAACATTGTTACAGATTATAAAATCCTTTAAAGTTACTTCTTTAGTTCTTCTGCTCTAGGGAGTTGTTTCGCATTCATTAAATGCATTATGCCTTAATGTTTCTGAGACATTTCATAGTTATAATATGCTTGTTTTATTTCCATTAATAGATTGTAATTCGTCTTTCTACATAGGGTATTTGATCTGAAATGAAATAATTTTCTACCTTGTTTTATTAAATTTAGATATTTTCTTGGTAGGTTGGATTGAAATCAAATTTCTGAAATAGGATCATGCTTAAATACACCTTCAGGGTTCTCATAGGGGAAACCCATTGAAAGTCCTTTAAAAAAGTGCTTATCACTCCCTAACTTAATCTGTCTAGTCTGTAAATCCACTAGATATATGCAGGTTTGTTTTTCAGTTTTTTGTTGTTGTTTTGCTTGAAATGGGCATGTGTAAAGCTTGCTTACTACCCTTATCTCTTCACATATGGACAACTAGTTAACATCTAGGCCAAGCTGACTGTTAATCTAAACAACAGAATACAACTTTGGAAACAATTTAAGCCACTTCCTGCTAGTCAGGCTAATTCAAATTGTCCTTTGTTTATGTATGGTGGATCTTTGCCCTAATATTACCCACATTAGAGAACATTTCAAAGTAAATGGTTGTTTTGCTTCAGTTATTAAAATCAGTGCTTGTTTTGGAGATGCTTTCCATTGAAAACAAATAGCTGTAACCAAAACAAATATTTGAACTTTTAGAGGAGTTCTGGGACCTAAATGTGGCTTTTTGCCATCAAAGTACCATAAGAGTTTTGTAAAGTAGTGGTCGTGAAATGCTGCTTGAAATCTAGGTGTTTCTAGTTTCATATTTATAAAAGGGAATAATATTACCTTCATTCTTTTATCTCACAAAGTTAATATTAAGAGGAGCTGAGACAGCAAATGAGTTAAGTTTGAAATATGTGCAAATCAGTTTAACCTAACGCAGACACTGTAATCCTGGCCGCCCCCTTTTTTTAAAATTTTTTTTTAGATTTATTTATTTATTTATACAAGCACTGAGTAGAGTCAGAAGCGCGAGAGGGTGAGAGAATTCACCAGAGCCAGAACAGGGAACAGAACAGGCAGACTGACGAAATATACCGCTGAGGGGAGTAGCAGGCATGGCAGGAGAGGTCTCTGTCGCACCATGTGGGACCCTCACCAGCGGCTGGGGATTGAACCGGTGCTGCAGAGGCTGCAGGCAGCTTCGCAGCCCAGCGCTCAACCGCTGTGCCACCACGGGAGGCGACCCCCCGCTTTTTTAAAAGATTTATTTATTTATGCATACAAGAGCTGGGGTACAGCCAGAGATGTAGGGGGGGTGAGAGGATTCACCAGAGACAGAGTGGGGAACAGAACAGGCAGAATGACTGAAATACACAGTTGAGGGGAACAGCGGGTGAGGCAGGAGAGGTCTGCCTTGCCATGTGGGTTGCTGGGGGCGGGGATCGAACTCAAGCTGCAGAGGCTGCAGATTGCTTCATAGTGCGATGCTTAACCCCTTGGGCCACCAATCCTGGCCCCCTTTAATCATTCTTCCTGGTTAGAGTGTGTATTGTAGGGATAGGGTCAGATTTGGTGCAGTGAGGTGTGGTGAGGGGTGATCTAAGATATTTATTGGTAGCTCCACAGGAAGATGTATTTTATACACGAAAGAGGAAACTTAACCCTGACATTGTTTCTCCTGTTTTGTCAGATTTGCAATATATGTAGATAGAAGGATGAATTTATACAATAACTAAAAAGGGGTTTGAGATTTTCTATAGATTGTAATTAACTGTTTTTTTTTTTCAATTGTAGGGAAAAAAACCCCACATAACCTAAAATTGACCACCTTAGCCAGTTGTTACAGTTGAGTAGTGTACAGTTCAGTAGTGTTAAGTATCTATATATTTATTTATTTAAAGATTTTATTTATTTTTATACAAGAACCGGGATACAGGCCAGATGCGTGGGAGGGTGAGAGGATTCGCTGAAGACAGAGTGGGGAGCAGAACAGGCAGTCTGAAGAAATACACTGCTGAGGGGAGCAGTGGGCAAGACAGGGGAGGTCTGCTTAGCCTTGTGTGAATCTTGCCTGGCGGCCGGCTGGTATCAAACCTGCACTGCAGAGGCTGCGGACAGCTTCACAGTGTGGCACTCAACTGCCTGCGCCACCCAGGAGGCCCCATCTATATATTTACATTATTGTGCACCCAATCTCCAAAAATTTTTTATCTTGCAAAACTGAAACTCATATACTCATTTAACAGCTCTCCATTCCCACTCAGCCTGCAGCCCCCAGCAACCACCATTCTAATTTGTTTTTCTATGAATTTTGCTATTCTTAGCTACCTCATATAAATAGAATGATACCATACTACATATAAATAGAATAAAATAATCACTTGCTTATTTCACCTAGCATGATTTCCTCAATGGTTATCCTTGTCAGAATTTCCTTTCGTTTTAAGGCTGGGTATATTTCATTGAATATATAGACCACATTTTGTTTATCCATTTACTCATTAGTGGATTGGGTTATTTCTATCTCTTGACTGTAATAACTAATGTTACTATAAACATGGTGGTACAAATAGTTCTTTGAGAATGCTTTCCATTATTTTATATATATAACCATAAGTGCAATTTTGGATCATATGGTCATTTTTAATATATTGAGTAGTTTCATACCATTTTCCACTTGACTGCACCATTTTACATTCCCACCAACAATGCACAAGATTCTAATTTCTCCACATCCTTGACAACACTTGTAATTTTTTGCTTAGTAGATAGTAGGCACCCAAATGGTGGTAAGGTGATATCTCCTTGTGGTTTTGATTTGCATTTTCATAATTATTAGTGACATTTGCATCTTTTCATATGTGTTTATCATTTATATATCATCTGTGCAGAAATGTCTTTTCAAGTCCTTTGCCCAATTTTAATTTATTTTTAAAAAAGATCACTTACTTATTTATGCATAGAAGAACCCTAGAAGTACAGGAGGTGAGAAGATTCACCAGAGACAGAGTGGGGAACAGAACAAGTGTATCTACTGAAATACACTGCTGAGGGTATTAAAGGGCAACTCTGATATAAAATGAGTTGCCTGACTGTGGGTCCTCACCTGTGCACTTAAAAGGGACTTAAACTGCAGGCGCACACAAAAGGTTAACAAATGGCTTATTTACAAGAGAAGGGGAAATGAGGAAATGTACACTCAGGGAGAAAGGAGGGAGATAAATTCTTAAATGCAGCCTACCCAGTCTGCGGACCTGGAAACCCAAATAACCTGCCAAGACCACACGCTGCCTGGCCAAGAGCACAAGCCAAGAGAGTGAGACCCCACTAACATGGCTGGTTATAAACACAAGCCAGAGAAAATGGCTGCTTAACTCCGCCCTTAGTTCAACGCTACCCCCCTTTGGGGATCATGAGATTTGTAGTTCCCAGTGTCTTGTGGAGTCAGGGTGGCTTCCACAAAACCTGTATGGAGTTTGCTCAGGACATCCTTTCCCCCTAACAAGGGGAGCAGTGGGTGAGACAAGAGAGGTCTGCTCCCTAGCTGGGGACCAGGGATGGAACTCAGGCTGTAGTGGTGATAGCGCTGAGATTTAATCCGTAAACCACCAGGGAGGTCCCTCTTTGCCCATTTTTTAATAGGGTTATTTGTTGTTGTTGAGTTGTAACAGTTCATTATACATTTTTGGATATTAACCCTTAATCAGGTACATGATTTGCAAATAAATAGCTTCCCTTATTCTGTAGCCTGCCTTTTTACTCATCGATTGTGTTCTTTGCTTCAC